CCTGCTGTGTTATCTAGAATGGAAAAGCAGAATAAATAAATATTGCTGGATGGAGTTTTATGTGGTATGGGGATGGGGGGTGGGATGGTACTGGTCAGCAGTTACCTTTATTGTCTACAATGGAGAAGTTTGGATGAACAGCAAATTCTGGCACCAACTCAAAGAAAAATTTGTGTCCTTGAGGAGGCTCATCTTTGTCAACTGCACTCACAGTCTGTATCAGCTATAAAGAAAACAGTATTTCATGCTATTTTAGAAATCTTGTGTTTGAAATAAGGTCTCTGCTTTTCATGTACAGTAAAAATCCAATGAATCTCTATCTAAAGACACAAACTGATGTCCTATGCCGAATAGGACATAAACACAGGAGAGGTTACAGTAAGCAGATTGTTTTTTATTGTTTAAACACATAATGGAGGATGAAAAAGGGGCTGGTTGTCACTGAAAGACAGTGTGTGCTTTGATTTGCACTCAGTATCTTGCATTGATATAGAAACAATTGCCCTTCTAAATAAACTATAAACCTCCTGTGGCCTCATCTAGCAATGACACAGAGTAGTGTGTAAACCAGTTGTTAAGTGGGTCTAATCCCCAGTCCACCTCATCTGCTCCTGGCAATAAATTGGAGTACTGCACTGGCAAGATGCTTGGTTCTCCTGAGGTAATAAAAAGAGATGCTTTACTCCCTCCTAAATTGAAATTTCTGCCTATGGAGTTCTATAGCTGCCCTAACAAGGCCACTGAAGCCCAGCTGGTAGGGAGTGATAATAGTGCCAGCACAGGGTCAGAGTAGAGTGGACTAAAAAAAAGGGAGGCTTCAGCAGTACCTCTGGATTGCACAGGCTTTTCTGTTGCATCAAAACATGTCCAAATGTGTGTACTCATGTATATATAGACACACATATATGATAGCAATTTGACTCTTTTTCTGTGTGCTGCTAGACTGATAGATAGAGGTTAAGGAAAACAGCTGCAGAACTGAGGAAGGAAAAGCTACCTGGGAATAGCTGTGGTTTGTGAAATGACTTGCAATAATTAACACCATGCCTGGTTGCATGAGTCATAGTAACTCTAGTGAGCTGTATGAATGACTGCTATGTCCTTTGCACTCCCTAGTGGGTATCGCACTGGAGAGTGACCCATACTCCACCTTGGCTTGCAAGGGCATGTTTGAGTTCAATCACAAGATGACAAAGCTTGATGGCATGAGAATGGGAGTAACCTTCAACTGAGGATGCTGCAACTCAGTACAGGCGAGTTCCTATGGCACCTAAACTTAAATGCAGAAAGAGCTCAGCAGTCAGACTTGTTTCTTTCAAAGCCATGAGGGAGCCAATGCCTGTCTTAAGGTTTTCAAGTGTTTCCAGTAGGTAGGGTGTCCTGAAATCCCACAGACATCAAAGCCACTTGTTATCAAAGACACTCTGCGGCTTCTTTTTCTGATATTTCCAGGGAAAGTACAGCATGACTTCTTCAAGAAATACAGTAATTGACAAGTAAAGCTGATACGATTTTTAAGCTTTACAGCAATCAAGTAAGGAATGGCTTTTTCTTGTGCACTTTCTCTGAACATCAGCTTGAGTGGGACTTGAGGATACAGTTAAATTTTGGAGGGTATTTAGCATCCCTCAGGATGGAACACTGTATTAGACAAACATAATTATAGGGCTACCAAAAATACTAAAGTGTTTTTCTTACTGTATCATTCAGACACCTGCAGCTGCTGGTGCTGTACTGCACAATGAGTATTTGCCCATTTTTTCTAGTTAATTTTGAGATACTTTTATTACAGCTAATAATATTAAGTTGTAATAAAAAAAACGGAGAAAGTCTGAGTTTTGCTCATTCACTTCCTAGCAGCTCCTTCTAAAACAACTACAAGATTCTTTATTTATTATTTTCTTTTTATTTTTGAGGCATATGGAGGAACTTGAAAGGTAATTTGTGAACATCAGCCTTGTACAAGAGGTTGTGACTATGCTGAAGGCAGGATTATGCAGTTCTTCTAAGTGTGATTAGAATAATAACTACATATTAAGGTCTCTTCACTTTTAAAGCATTTGATCATCATTACTCTTTAGAATTTTTTTTTAAGTTTTATCTGTTTCCCAAGATTAGCCAAATACCTGTTTATGGCAAAGTAGCCTGTTCAGTATGTTGCCAAGTCTCTGATTATGCCAACATTTTTCCAATGTCCCATTGCTTTTCTTTTTGCCATAATCTGCTTCTGAGAGTGGCAATACTGAGAGCAAGACCAGGATGGTGCTTAATTTTAATTTTGCATTGTTTAATGCAAAAAAGTAATGTTGCTACCAAAAAACCCACCCTTCTGATAGCACTAAAATACCAAATTGAAATGAGAAAATTTTCCTCTCACATTTTTACAAGTTTGAAAAGACAGAAAAATTGTAAAAGTACCAGAAAGAAGAGAGAGAATAAGTTATAATATTTGCACAATTGCTTGCTGAAAAACTCAAGGAGAAAATATCCTGATATAATAGCTACCAGAAATTGCAGTTGAGTATCTTGGGGCTTTTTGAGATGTAATCAGTGGGATGTTTGTAGGATCTGGATTTGATTTCCTTCATGTGCAAATCACATGGAGGAGGACGATTGTGCCAGGCATAGAGGAACCTAATTACATTGAAAACTTATTGTTGAGGGCAAGGCTGAAGAAAAATAAAATTAAAAAAAAAACCTTATTACCTGCTCTAAGTATTGGCTGCATAAATTGAGAACCAGCTGTTCTTCCACCAGGAAAGATGGGAGAATAAAAGAACAATGAGAAAGGATGACTGCAGGTGAATTTTTCTAAATGATGAATAGGTGAAAGGAAATTAGAAATGTTATCTAATTAAGGTTTTTTTTCAGTTATACAGCTGTAAATAGAAGAGAATGATGTTCATGATAATCACTGCCGAAATGAAAGAGATGTGGTTATTTTTATTTTAAGTATCACAGCTCTATGAAAAAACTTAGTACTGTTTCATGTACATTTTGTAATTTCATGTTGGAAATGTATTCTTCTGTTTTGAAGCACTTATGGACATTCAATGACTTTTACTCCAATATGTTTCAAGCATGTCAGACTTAGAGAAGGTAAAAAGGATTCGCACTTTTTTCTTTCTTCCATAGTTTCCCATGCAAAAGAGCACAATTTGGAAAATACAGCATTATTGTCACTATTTTGAGGGTTGTGTGTGCATGTGCATGTGGACTTATGTGTGTTTAAAGAAACAGTCTCATACTCTTGAGTGGGTCTTATTTGGTAAATTCAAGTTTTTAGGGGTCACTTGTCTTTGAGGGTACTGAAAATTTAAACTTGGGCATTGGCGTAAAGTTTTCTTTTTTACACACAGGACAAAGTGGTTGTAGCAGCTTGACAATGTAAGATGAGTTGTGAATGAGGAATTATTCCCACTGGAAAAATTCCTTGAAGAATTTCTTTCATGATGAAGCCAGAGACTCTATTAAAGGGTTTGGATCTATTTCCCATTGGCATAATTTTTTCAAACGTGGAAATGGTTCAACTATAATACTGTTTTGTGGGGTTTTTTTCCCTCCTGGATACTATGTTTTTAAGGCCATGACTTACACCACAGTCAAAATTGTGATTGTAGTTTATGTTCAGCCTATTTTATAGCTATTCATACTCATCTCTGAAAAAGTGATTGGGGATGAATATACTGGCTAGTAACAGATTCCTTACGTATATCTGGTACATCCCTAGACGTAGCCTGCTCTCCAGTTTTTTCCAAGCTGTTTTAAAGGCAGAAAGTGAGTAAAAGCTAGTTGGGGGCATTCTGAAATAACAAGGGTCCCTGTGTACTTCAGAGCATGCCCTTACTGTTCCTAAGGCTGCATTTTTGGACACAAAGAGCTGCACAAGTAGCAGACTTGGGTCGTGGGCCCAGCCTTGGGACTGCCTCTAAAAGGAATATAGGAATCATTAGAGCAAACGTTAAGCTACTAGTGCATCTTTAACAGTATAGAGGTCAGCACCAGCCAGCCACTTTTTAGATGGGCTTTTCTGCCTGTGCTGGCTTGGCATGTCATGCGAATAAACCACAGTTGCACATTGGCTCCAGGGTACACACTTTAAAAATGCAGCAATGTGCTTCAGACAGATTCTTGAAAGGTTCATTGAAGAAAGCTGAACAAGATGAGGTCTATGGGTGGACAGATGAAATATATTTTCTGTTTTAAAATTTCTACTAATAAGCCAAAATTTCAGACAAATAGAATTTCAAAATAACAACATATTGGTTGTGGCTATTGTATTTTTAAACCTCTTTTTCAAAATTCCTTCTTTTAAAATTCACTATAAATAAAGAAGTAAAAAATAATGTCACTTTCATAGGAATTTAAAGATGGTCTGCTGTTATAGACAGTGCCTTTTTGAAGTTTTAAAACAATGTAATTGTCATATAGCATAAAAATTGTACATCCAATCTCAGAGAAGTAAGACCAGTGGAGACAGACATTGTTAAGCTAGAGATACGGTAACAGCTGCTGAACTTTATTGTTTCTTGTATGGGATTATAGATATGCAAAGGGGTAGGCCTTCAATCCACTTGAATCATTTGGGTTATTGTTCTTATTATATTATGCTCCTGGATATTGTACAACAGAGAAATTTCTCAAATGTCATTTATCTACTTTCAGATGTTTCTGAGATAAGGCTTAAAAATATCACTAGCCACTTGAGAAGGGAATGTTTGGGACATTTTGCTGTTTGTTCTTGTCTGACACTTTTTTCAGAAGTGGAATATGAGAGAACAGAACAAATCCTGGATCTTGGAGCACTGGCTTTGTCATTCTTGAAATTTATTAAACTTATTTTGTGCTGCAAATATTTCTCACGGAATCTGGAAAGGTCTCACCACTTTATATGCAATAAACTATGAAAAAACATATTGTGAGAGAGACTGTGCTTTTGACAATCATCAAGAACGTAGTAGTGTGCAAATGCTATGGGGGAATGGTGAAAGAGCACTTTGTGTGCCTCCTGTCCTTTCTTTCTCTTGCCCGTTTTCCTGCCTGTACAATCTGGTAGGGCTAATCACTAACTAATCTTGAATGTATTAATAACACAGCACAGTGTAAGTGGGTGGGGTGAAGATTTTGTAGAACATTTCAAAGTGGCTACATTTCTCTAGGAGTGAAGTAATAATATAGTTCAAGTGTTCCCACACAGAAGTGTTTCAACACCAATCCAGCTGTCAGTGGATGCCCATCTTGTCATTTTGCAGCTTGAGTGATCACATGTATTCAGGCACAATTCTAGCCTATACACCTGTATGGTGTTAGCTCCAGAAAGCAACATCCCTCGTGTGTGTAAGCTTGAATAGCCCTTTGATCTTGATGCTTTATGTCTTAAGAAATATTCTAAAATGCCTGCCACTTAACAAAGCTTCATGTTTGGCAATGCAAAACAGTTTGGTTTTCAAGTTTTGGCTCTGTTCCACAAATGTGTTGGCAGTTTTAAAGCAGGACTGAATGCTTATCGGAAGTTGGAAAGTTCTCCCTTGAACTCCAATTCTTACTTCAAAAGAGAGAGAAACTGTTAGCATGGGTCTCTCACCAAATCAAGCCAATAGGTGTCTACCTACAGAAGGCAGCTACAATGTAGAAACAACTTGTGACTGATAATTAACAATGGCCTCATGAAAAACGTGATCTCTGTCTGCTCCACCTGAAAAAGGCCGGGGAGGGTGGAATGGAGACTAATGAAAAGAAAAATCTGCCAGCTTTCTGAAAGAGGAAACAAACTCTTTCTCTGTTCTGGTGTCTGAGAGCCCCTAAATGGCAGGAAAGAATATAGCATCAGTGCAAAAAAAAGTGACCCAGGTTATTTTCTTAAATATTATTATTGATGGGTGTTGAAATTAGCTAAATTGTTGCTAGCAAATTGTTCAGTTAAATCACTCTCCTTTTCAAGTAAATCTTCCTGGTTTCCATGGAGAGGACTCATCCTCTAATCCAGCTAAAAAGACCCAATTAATTCCCATGACTAGGGCATGAGATATCTTGTACCAGAGCCTTCCCCACAACAGTCCCTGGGGCTCAGGATAATCAAAGGATTAGGGATTTCTGAATTGTGCAAGAGGAAGGCTGCATCATATTTTTCTTTAGCCTGTGTATTAGCCAGTGGAACAGGACTCACATGGTGACAAGTCTGTTCCAGCCTAATGAACGTAGTTGTTTATGCACCTTTAGTGATAATGTTTCTCCCCAGTCATACCATTGTTGGTTGGAGACAAAAGAGTGGCAGGGGAGGAGGAGAGACTCTAGGATTTTCTTTCCTCTGACCCTCCTAAGGCTATCTGAAAAACACAATGAATGCAACCTCTAATATCTGCTGATGTTGAGAATGAATAATGTCACTTGGCAGCAGAGAGCAATATTTGATCATTCTGACTGCTTCCTGATGCAACTGAGATTTAGAGAGCAATGTGATTAATAGCTGGGCCCGATTAAAAAGAAAAAAAAAAATTAACAGAATATATTTATGTTCTCAATCTGTCTCTCCTGCTATGGGAACCAAAGGTAGAAGCACTGCTGTGATGTGTCGAGAAGCAATAATGGTTCTAATAAGACAGCTGCTTTAGGTGATCTCTAAAATAAGGTAGAGTAGTACTAAATGAACACAACATGATTCTATATCTTTATTGTATTATAGGGGGACTGCTAAACATGAGTAATACAGGTTATCTGGAACTTAGCATCCTTGGCCAAAATATTCAAGTGTGTATCTCTATATTCATTGCTATTTTTAGGCACCAAGATAAAAGTTGTCTCCTGCACTGAAGATAATATTTTTTTTCTGAAATACTAAGTCAACTGTATGTAAATGTCCAGATATGAACTCAGATGACATCCCTGAGGAACCCAATTCTTAACAAATAGAAGAACAGTCTGGATCTCTCATTCTTCTGCAGCTGCACTTGATGCACACTGTCTTTCTAGTATGTTTGTGGATTTTTCCAATTAAGGAAAATAATTCCTGGAACTACATTAGTACGCTGTATGGAAGGGAGGTCTGAATAACAGTATGCCTATCTATTCAGCCTCTGTCATCTCTGTTGTTAAAAAACCACAGAATTTACCAGAAAGGGAAATGAAGTTTTATACATTAATGGATATTTCATCAATTTTGCTAGACTAGATGGAAATTGGGTTAAGGAAAGTGACAAGCAGTATGCCTGGGTTGAACTTTGTTCAAATACATGACAAAACCTGTGTTTGCTGATAAAATTGCACATGATTAATTTCAATGAAATCTTCATTTGTAAGCTTTGGAACCTTTCTTTGTGTTATGCAATTAAAGTACATGACTCACTTTGTTATCAGTCATTATACTGACATTTTAAGATTTATTTGTCTCAGTTTCATCTTGTGCAAAGAGATTTTGTTGCACAGACAGAATTTAGGTCATATGCTGGCTGTCTGAAATTAATGGCTAGAATTATTTGAATGTATTCCACCTGGAAGAACAGCTTATAAATCATAAAACAAAACTATGAGGTTACAATAACCACAAGTTTAGGGAATTTTTGCTCATTCTATAAGGCTTGAACTGTATTCTTAAGTGACAATTTATGTCACTGGTTAAGACACAATGTTCTGATCATAAACCTCAGTTGTTTTGAAAGGTGCTCCTTGTTCATTTTTTTGATATTATAATTCCTTCCACTGTTTTAATTTAATTCATCACTGCCTTTGATATGCATATTCCTCTATTTATGTCATTTCTTGAAAAAAAATTAAAATAATGGTCAAGTACCTCTTCAAAGCCAAGTGATTTCACTCAAACTATCTTCTGTCTCTCTAACCCACTTACCTAAATTCCAGTATTAGGTGCAATGAATGAAAAATAAATAGAATTGAACACAAACTCCAGCAATCCATGTATCCTCTTTTTCTCCCTTCTTTGGTCTCTTCTATTCCCCGCGCCCCCCTAGTCTGTTAAACCATTCATAAAACATCATTTGAATTGCAACTGGTAAATTGCATGTTCTTGCTCTGTCTAGAGTTCTGCAGGACTTGAAGTTCTAGACTCATCTCAGGTACTGTCTATGCTACTTTCAGTGCAGCCCCTGTAGATCTGTTAAATATGACACTGGGCAGAGATCAGGGTAAAATATGAGCATGTGTTCTGACGTGTATCCATATTGCCCAGCCCTGAAAGCCTTTGAGTGTTATATGGTCACTGTGCTCTAAGGACAAACAAAATATCCTACATTCTGATCCTTCCCACATACTTTCTGTGAAGTCAGCCAGCTTTGGTTGGATGATGTCAGCATGAAACTAGTGAGACACAAGGACAGACCTAAGCTGAGTTTAGGTCTCCATCCTGGCCTCTCTCCACTAGAGTAGGAACCCATTCATGTTTGTGCTAGTGAAAGTAATGATCTCAAGCTTTTTCTTCCACTCAAAAATGCATCAGTCTAGAGAAGAGGCTCATGGCTGGGCTTAGGCCCATGCTTGAAAGACAGTCTCAAGTTACCTAATCTGCTACTAAATCCAGTTCTTTGGTAAATACTTTCAGAATTAAAAATCAGCAAAACATATATCTTTCTTCAAAGGATTTAAAACTGAAAGGCTGACTGGCATTAGCATAAATAGATGCGGCAGTAATATTAAAAGTTTTCTGTAATATCCTGTCTCTGAGTTCTGTTGGTCTGCCTCATTTCTCAGTTCCCAGTTAATCACTTTATTTTGTCTACAAATCTTGCTATTGTCTTTTTACATTATTAGAGAATTGCTGAGATAGTTCAGAAAGGGATATACATGAGCTTTGACCAAATTCAACACAATTCCAAACTGAAGTTTAACTTACAATGGAAACAGTTGCATTATCTTTTATTTTTGTAGAAGTTTATTTTTCATGTCTCCTTTACTGAAGCATAATAAAAGATTTTCCCGCTTTGTGTACTTGAAGGTGTGGCTACATTAACTAAGGCTTTGAAAAAAAATCCAGAAAGAAATGGAATTGTCAAACAGTATAAAGAGTTTTGTAGCATTATGCATAACTAATTATGAAAAATATTTTCTGATATTAGGAATGAAAAACCATCCTAAAGTACAATTTTGTATTATATGCTATGTTACTATACTAGGGTAAAATCCTGCATCTTTTATCTCCTCAAACCTTTTTTGAATCAACTGGTAGTTTCTGTAGAAGGTAGGGAATAAAGAGACTGGGTTGGCTTGCAGTTGTTCAAATTAAGATATGCTGTTTTCACGATGGTATTCCAGGATAGTCTCATTACAGATTTTTCAGTAACTTAAGTATTCGTTTACCTGTCCTGCTTTTGCATTTTCACAAACAAATGTTTCATAGTATTTGGCAAATTCTGGTGCATGATCATTTATGTCTAAAATCCGGATGAAGACAGGTATCTGGCTACTTTGTTTAGGATTATCTGAAACAAGAAAATTATTTATATTACAATGCAAAGATTTACAGTCTATGAAAAGGCCTGAAATTATCTAATATATTTTTTCCAATAGACATTAGAAATGTTCATTTATCTTGATTATATTAAAACAATTGTATTTTATTTTCTACTGACATACATTCCATATACATAAAAGCCCTATTTATATTTAAAACAAATTGTTCTATTATAGTATATGTATTTTGAAATAATAGAAAATATACTTAAATTGATTTGCATTAAAAACAGGCCACTGAGCTGTTACTGACTTGTATTCCATACATCAGTGCAGTAAATGATTCATTGCAAAAGGTGTTTCCTGAGGTCAAGCTGTCAAGAACATTTACTTTTTCAAAGAAGTAAAGCAGTTAAACAGTGCCAGTCAACAACAACATCAACAAAAATAATACCAACCCAAAGTTGTCCTTTCTCCCCAAAATGTAAAAAACAAACCAAAAAAAGGATATATGTAGATGTTACCATTAATTGGTCTTCACAAAGTTGTCAAGCTATCACTGGAGATGAATCTCGCAGTACACATATTGAAAATGGAGACCATATTTGACCAAACAATGAAAAAGCATTTATAAGGAAAAGGTATCAGTCTTTCTGAAAATGGGAATATAATTAATCTCTCCATATGACCCGACTCCCAGACTGTTAAACACATAAACTCCTGGGGAATCTATAGGGAGAATGGAGGAAGGGAGAAAAGTTGTTTCCTAAAATCAGTATGTCTGTTTCCCCTCTGATGACTGTTATCAGTTGGCTGGAAAGAAAAGGCAGGCAAGAGACATCCAGATCTAAAAGCGTCCAACAGAATAGTAAAGAATCCAGGTGAAAGACTTGGGTCAGGGTTTGCTTCAGACATGAGGGGAAAGAATTTCCTCTAACCTTGGCTTCAAATGGAGGCATTTCCTGAGATAAGTTAAAACAGTTGAGGTAAATAATAATTTCTTCCCCTGTTTATAGTGGTCATTCTGACAATGTGTTATTTGTCCATCATGGACATCTTTTTTTCCAAGGATTTTCCCAAAGACTTAACTTAGGATAAAGCCAGTGCATCACACCTGCACCAAATTATTTGCTGGGAATTCTCAGGGAACCAGTTAACTTTTCTAATAGATACTGCACACAGCTTTGTTCAGCCTGAGCATTCCAAATTATCTTTTCACACATGGGCAAAGATAATCCTAAAGTTATAAACTGAACTTTTAGATGTGCATTTAAAGATACTGTCTATTGATAATATATGAATAAGGGCAAAACTAATGAAACAAGATAAATCATACTGTAGAATTTCAGTCTTTTCTCAGTTCTAATGTTCTTCCAAGATAAATGATCTCCAACTTACTGATTTCAGTTGCTATGACAGTGATGTTATGCCAGGGAGTTTCTTCCCGGTCAAGTGGCCTTGAGATGAATAAGGATCCATTTCCTGAATAGATGTTGAATATTCTGTCAAGGTCAGTGTGTCGATCCACAGAGTATCTGTCAAGATACAGTACGACTGAGCATCACTATCTCCTATTACAGTCTCTAGTTTAGCTCACAGCCACCTCTAAAAGTTTTCTGATTTTAACTGTGGTTAATCAAGAGTGTTTTCTTTACAATTAACCTAAGCTTTCTTGCAGCTTCCTGAGGAGTGCAGCATGTTACTAATACTGAGAAACAACTTTTTAAGACCAGTGAGTGGGATGAAAAGCAAACTATTCATGTGGGCAGTTTGTTAGACTGATATTTGAAATTACCTTTTAGCTTATAAAGTGAATGCTGGAATGAAAACTAAAAGTGAACATTCATAGATCATATTTTTGCAAATTAATTGTTTCTTGGAGAACTCAGTCATCAAAGGACACACATTGCAAGTATAATTAAGTATCAATTTGTAACAAGATATTTTTGAGATGTCACAAGGACCATCAAAAACACCAGAAAAAACTTTGGATTAGTTGTTGTTTAAGATGGAAGTTCTTAAAATCTTATTTTATGACACTTGCTTTTGCTTTGTTCTTTCCAACCAAGGAAAAACTTATTTTACAGGTGTTTTTAATTAATCTAGTAGTTGCCAGTCACTATCAGGTTAAATAGAGAATGTATACATAGATTACTTAAAAATATTTTATTTTCTCACACTTCCTACCCCAAACTGTACTGCTGCAGGACATGACAGGCTTGTTCAGAAATGCAGAAATTAGGTTGCATGGTAAATACACAAATTTCAATGCTGTGTTTGTCACTGCAGATAATAATAGCAGATGGCTAACAATTACAACAATTTCACAGCACTGAACTCTTCCCTCTAAATGTTATGACTTTCTTGCAATCATTTCTTATTTAATATAATGTGATCATTAAATAGTTAAGTTATGGAACATGGTAGACAGTGTTATGTCTAGGGGATCATGAAGGTACAGAAGGCTGACTGCTATCAACAAGCAGGGAGCGTAGAAATACACCTTTTTGAGTATTTTACCTAAGTTTGCCATTGGAAACATGGTATAAAAACATAATCATGTGAACAGTTTGGTGAAAGTACTAGAGCATGATGCCAGTTAAACGCTGACCTCTCCTTTCTTTTTACCTGGTGCCTATAGGCTGTCCTTCAGAAGCTTACCCTGCACTGTTAACTGTGTTTGCCTTAGCTCCCATAGATATTTCTCTGCTTGACACTTTTCAGAAGCCCCTATGGGCTTCATTGCTCAAGTGGCTCCCTATTGCATTGCACTCTCATCACAATTTGTGCATGAGACTTGATCCACATCTAAAGAATTTTAAATTGTGTAATGGCTTACTTTATTGCATTCTTTGTTATATCTGGATCTTGGGCTACAACCTGCCCAATAATGCTTCCTTCCTTGGCATCTTCATCTACCTCTATTAAATACCAGGATCTTGTGAACACTGGAGGTTCATCTATGTCTTCCACAGAAATTTTGACCAAAGCCGTGTCTTTGAATGGGCCCAGCTGAAGAAAACGAGGATCAGGATGAGTGTTGGTTGCTTCCACTCTTAAGGTGTATAACATCTTGTTTTCAAAATCCAGATGCTGGGGAGCAAATAATAATAATAATAAAGGAAATTGTGTCACTTTACAAGAAATGTAAGTCAGTTCTATAATGCTGAATTAGAAGTGTAGGCATTTTTAGGAGCAAAACCTCTAAAATTTAATGCATCTTGGAGAATATGGAAAATATTAGGGCTTGTTCTAGGTATAAGAAAAATAAGGAGTATTATAGGGCAGCAAGGCAATTATGATCCCTCTGCCTACTATTTGTTTGGATTCCTGGGAAACCAGGAGGCATCAATCTATAGAAAAAGAGAAAAAGAGAAAGAAACAGGGAACTTGGACTCAATCCACAAGCAGGAATTGCTAAAGGTCTTATTTGTCTCATCTCGTTTGTAGGAACAAGAACAATTATCCCAGCTCTTAAATACTCTCTGTCCTATTTCTTTTTTCCTTACTCGTCCCCCATTACCATCTACCTTTGCCTATTTTGCATCAGGACCAACCCAGACTTGTCCCTGGCCTCCATATTCCAGAGTGAAAAGAGAAACTATGAAGTCTGATTTCCAATCTATGTGACATTTATATTATGCACATCCATATATGCATATGCATATGCACATTCATATGCACGTGCATATACATAAATATACCGATGTTTCCAAACGTATGTGTATAGATCTATATTTTATATATATGTATATATCAATTAATTGTTACTGCTACATTCAGTAAGAACAGAATGAAAACATTGTTCAGAGTTTAACAGTCTGAACACTAAAAAGCGACCAATAAATCTTTCAGAGATGATATTTTGAATTAAATTTCTGCCCATATCTTTGCTCTTTGAACTTCCATTGACATAATATGTAACAACTTAAGTTTCACCAAGGTTGGACTTAAACCAAGACAGATTTTAGGTACTGGATATACCTGACTGTTGGACAGATTAAAGAGGGACAGTTTAGCCTTGGAGGTGTAAGTTCATCAAACTTCAGGTGAGCCTCCAACCCTTGTGAGCCTTACTGCAGCATTCAGCTGACAAACCCCACTGTGAACTGAACCCCTCCAGGTTTTCACAGCCCTAATTCAAAAATACTGTGTGTGAGAGTATATATATTGAGCAGACAGCAGCCACTGAAATATTGCTTTATGTGAAGTGACATGCCAGTAAATTTCCCTCGAGACTTGAAAATAACAGATACTGCTGAAGAAAGAGAAGAACAAAACTAATACAACAACTCCTTGGCATCCTGACCCCTTGTGAGATCTACCCTCCCTTCCCCTGGAAAAAGAAAAATAACCATAACATCTGGAGAGCTAAGTACATATAAAAGAGAGGGAGAAAAAAATAAACCTTTTTGACAGTTATAATCCCTTCCTGTGTGTCCTTGTCAGTGACGATATCAAACATGTCTGATCCATCCCCATTGGAGATGCTATACTCAATCTCTGCATTTTCACCCACATCAGGGTCGTTGGCTTTAATTCTGCCGAGAGGAGTCCCAGGTGGTGCAGACTCAGGAGAGCTGAACTGGTAGGTGCCTGGAAGAGCGAAATCAAGCATTTATTATTTTGAGAAGCTTTGTTCTTCTGAATAGCATCATCTTCAATTTCACCTGGATTTTTTAAGTAACTTGAAGTTTGAAACACTTTAAGAAAAATGCTGTTAGTCATCATACTAAACTTTAAAACAGGGTTTGGAGTTGATTGACAAGCTGTCACAAAAATTTCAAGTGATTCTTCAAAGCCATTTAGTACAGTGCTTTTAATGCTTTTTTTTTTTTTTTTTCCCCTCTCCTTCGGCTATAAGGAACAGAGAAGCTCAACAATTACGCACCAGTTCTAATCTTCACTATTTAACAGCATGTATATATTTTTTTCTCTCAGTTTTCTAGAAATGTTCCCAGATAGATTTAGAAGTAGTAGGGAATTTTGTTTTGTTTTCTCAACACACAAGAGCTGTAGAAACCGGTGTGGATTTTGGATAGAGACTAAAATAGAATAGGCCTTTTTTTATTATTATTCTTTTGAAAAATATATTCAAGATTTGTGGGTGTTCTGTGTGAAATTAATTCATTCATCTCTTATTGATAATACATACTAAAGAGTCATGTTAAAGAGCATTTGGCTACATGTTCATGTTAATTGCTGTAGTTAACTGAAATGCAGATACATTCAGACTTTAATTTACTCCGCATATACTTTTTGTGCTCTTTCAATGGTTGGTTTCATTTAATGTTTTTATAATCAGGGTTTGATAAAAAGAATTCTGATTACACAGACATTTTAATCTTGCCTATGTGTATGAAAAGTGAATTTATATGTATTTTCTAACAACATTTGCAATAAAAATCTAATTATAAAGACATGCTGTTGCAGAAAAAGTATTAATCAGATGGTTTTCTTGACCAGTCAGAACTAGACAATGAAGACCTTTCATCACTAGCAAGACACACATGTTTTTAAATCACAGTTTTCAGTTATTTGCTACCAAGAAAATGTAAAAACAATTCTGATACATTCAATATTTTACATGTGACATTCTGGAATCTGATGTTTCTTTTGATCTGTTTTCTCATGTAAATTAATATTAATTTACTGAGTGGAGTTGTAGCACTGGGAAAATACCTTAAGAGTCTGGACCTGACAAAACTAGCGCCTGATAAAATGCACAATCCTTATTTGAACCATCCAAATAGAACCTGTACAAATTATATTGACTTGTAGTACAGTACAGTCAAGTATCTTTCTTGCAACTAGCCTATTTCCTATATTTACATGTTCTTTGCTTTCTTTTAAGACACTTAAAAGGTCCTGAAGGTTCCTTTTAAGTATAAGGACTATACCAAATGTCTGAGTGGTGAATGAGTTTCTATCCCCAAATGTACAGACTAAGTACAAAAGAGTGTCACTGCAAATACCTTATATTTATATAGATGTGTAACAAAATGGAAGCTAATGCTTGATGCTAAATTGTATTTGCTGTTACAAATTCAAGGTTATAAATGAAAACTCAGCAGTAGACTGTTTGGCTGCAATCCACACACACTAAGATGCATGTTATTCCCTTAAACGAGGCTGAAAATGTGATGAAAGTTAGGATTCCTGGCAGCTAACCATAAGTTTGAAGGCTTGCTCAAATCCAAGGGTTTGGAAGGTGAGCCAGAAATACTGTAAGAACAAATTTAATCATGCTACTTATGACTTCTCCCAGAATAAATAACTCCCTTGAGTGCTTTTCCCTCTGAAAGCATTCCTTATTTTTGTGGTGCTGTGTGAGAGCTACACATTTTAGGCATGCAAGATGGCTAATTTGGTTTAGAGTACAGTTGAATTCAAAATATGTAAGATTTTCATTATGGTGCCATTTAAATTCAGTTTAAGCCTATGTCTTTTCACTGTCCAGGATTCCTTTCAGGAAACAAAACGAAACAGAAAATCTGTTCCTTCTTAATGCAGTCTGAACAACCAGTACTTCACAGTGCACTCTGCCATTTTCCTTTCTTCTGCCCCTCTAAGAAATCAATCTGTAGTTTTTCAATACCTTAACATTAATTCCTGTTGCTTCCATTTGCAATTCACCCTTGGCTTTGGGCCACATTTTCACTTATTGTTGCCTCACATAAGAGAAAATAGAAGATAATTGTTTTTGGAAGGAGCAGACTTCCAGAACTAGATAGTTCTTTGAAGGTATGCCCCTCTTCATAACTATCTAGGAAGAAATCAAAACCTCCAGATGTTTCTCAACATTTGATTTCCTAGGCAGTGTTGAAAAACACCTTGCTGAGGAGAAAGAAAATGAGAAGGAAGGGTCATCAGCAAAACAAAAATTGCACCATTGAATAGATCCCACAGCAGGTCTTCTGTAGCCCATCCAATGTGTTTTTTTCAGTGATGTTCAAAGTAGAAAGCTACACAGAATATTGTATGAAGCATCAAATAGTGTAAATTTCTCTATAATTAAGTACCAAACCCAAAGCTTATTGAAATAATCAGAACTTCCATAGACTTCAGGCTTCAACTAAACTTGAAATAAGAGCATCATAAGGAACAAAGGCTAAGGAGACAGAATATTTTGCAGTTCTATGCATTCTTCGTTCTTTATTTTTTTAAATTTAGTTTAATTTAATTTAACTTAGCAACAAAGCTTACAATGCGGTGTGTTATACCACATTCTAATTTAGGTTCAAGAATTCCTATTTGCCAAAATATTATGGGCTATATCATGCTATACATGTTTAAGCAGTATCCCTCCTGAAGTCAAACAGGAAGGTTGGTTAAAAATTTCTGTTTGAGTTTGTCATGTGTAGATATTTCTCAGCAAGTAAACTCTGAGTGTGAATTCAAATTATATTTTCTTTATGAGTGCAGTACTTCCCCTCCCCTCTCTTTTTTAAAAGCAATCTGTTATGATGAATAGAGATAAAAAAAGTTATATGCAATTTCAAGAATCATTTCTCCCACACTGACAGAGTTTTCTAATATTTTTAAAAATCTCTTCTAGGTTGACCTGTTTATACTATTCTGAGTGTACTTATTGCCATGGTACTGAAGTGCTTTTCAAGTTTCTTCAAGTCCAGCAGAGCATTTTCTAAATCAGCTCTGTTTGTTCAGTCCTTGGTGAATCTCTAAAGAGAGCCAGTCAGGTCCCTAATCAGTGCCAACAAGCAATTCAAATTTTATAATGTGGACATTTTTCCAGTAGGCACTGAACTGAGGCTGTAAATTTCTTCTGTCTGCAGCCTATCAAACACTTACAAGACGCTGATTGTAACAACGTGGGATTGGATTTAAACCAGTGGCCTAGGATGAAAGGATTTGTAGTATGCTGTGAAGCTTTCTGTATTGTGCAGCTTTCAGGTGCTTGCCATTTTTTATTCTACAGAGATATTTTTTAAAAACTTAATTGTGTCAAACTAGTCTAGATTATCAAAATCATTCAACATCAAGAGCTGAACACAGATTACAAGTACCTAAACCAAATGCTTAGACTTCCAGCGGAGCATACCACCTGACCAACTCTGCCTGTGCAAGGTGGTACATTAGAAAATTTGCTGACTCATTTGCTTGCCTAAACATGTGGAATTACAAGTGTCTCCAAAAACTGAACCCTAGATTTTGTAATTAAATTCCTCTAAAGGCTTTCAAGTCCCTGCAGTTAGCCTAGGTTATTGTTACAGCTCACATTCCTGTAAGCAGAGTAAGAACAGGAAGTAAGTTTATCGTTCTAGGAAATACTTTGCTATTAAAAAAATGGAAGCAGAGATTCCCATTTGCCTAAATAATCTACAATGTAAACAGACACAGCAGTGGAACAGTATTTACACTTAAAAAAATAGGGAGGAAAAAAGAAGATCCCACATGGTGACAGTGAAATAACTGATTTTAGAGACATTCTTTGGAAAACAACAGAACTCTTAGATGCTCCATACTCTGGGGGAAGCGAGGCGGATTGTTGTTGACATCAGTCAGCGTGATGTTCACGGTGGTGGTCCCTGATAGTCCTCCCATCTGGCCTCCCATGTCTTTGGCCTGGATGACCACTTGATACTGTTCCCTATTTTCTCTGCTCATGTCTGGCAAAGCAGTCTTGATTATGCCTTGGAGAAGAGAGAAAAAGGAGAGACGGAGAGGTGAAAGAGAAGCACCACCCACTTTAATCTCTGAGTATTTAAATGGATTCATGTAAAATATACTGTGCAGATGTTAATCCATAGCAATCAAAACAAGGTAAACTGCAATAAGCCTTTCAATCTATGGGTGATTTAATGTGATTTTAAGGAAAAAAAAAAGTAACAGAGATTTTATTCATTGTTTGTGATGTGCTAAATCTATTTCATTATTCTTTCAATGAAAAAAATACAGTTGTTGAATTAATGAAATTTTTGAGCTACTATTATTTTAATGCATTACATAATCTCCAGCCTTGGTGAGGTTTTGATATTATGGCACAAGGCTGAACTCTAACATGTCCTGGATTCATTCTTTTGGACTGTAATGGATCATAGATTTTAATGTGCAGTGATGGCCATTGTAAATCAGTTAGGGGTATAGCTAATAAAAGAATTGGACAAGACTGTAAAATTAATGTTGCAAAATCTTTTTTTGGGTGTCTGTTTTCAATAATTTCATAATTGTAATTTAAAAGTCTCAGACTCTTGTACAGGACACAAAAAGAGTAGGGACCTCAGGTGAGAAAACCCCAAATCCCATAGCCTGAACACAGAAGTGACCTCAATCCTCCTGGGATCCAGAGCCCAAAAGTCCTTTTCATTAAAGTGGACACACACATGTTTTCTTTTAGAAAACCAAGCAGAGAGGGTTTTTTTTTTTATTTAGAAGGATGGTAGCTTTGCAAGGTTGAAGTGATGAGAGCTTTCTCTTGTGAAGTGGGAGAATTTAAATACAACATGCTTTTTTGCTTGGGGGATTCACACCCCTGCCGTTCCTTTCTCAGAAGGCGGCTTTCATTACAAGCTTGGCTTGACATGGAAACTGTCCTATTATGCAAAAAAAAGGCAACCCTGGAAAACTCTTACTCCTAGACAGAGTGAAACAAAGAAAAAAAACTCCGTAGTCTAGTGGTGATGGCATTTATGTCTGATCCAGGATTGCCAGGTTCTGATTACTGTACCTAGGCTTGTTAATATATGTAACATTAAAAAGCAAATTGGATAAAAATGAAAGAGAATCCCAGAACCAAAGATGAGAGCCTAGGTCTCCCCCAAACCATCTGCCTGCCTACCCACCTGCTGCCATCAGTTAATGACCATGTGGTACTGGTCCTGTTTCTCTGCTCATGCCTGGTAAAGATATTTTGAGGAGGGGATTGGAGAAAAGAGAAAAAGGAGAGAGATAGGAAAAGGTGGGAAAAACCCAGACAATTTAATCCTGGGCAAAATCTTTATTCTCCTTTTTAAAACTGTAGCCATATGACTCATTATCCTTTTGATATAATGCCCTTGCTGTATTTAAAAAAGAAATTGTTTTAAAAGGAAATTAGCCATCATCTGACCATGCTCAATGGATTAGGAACTTCAGGGATTCTGGGCACAATTGCACTTATATTCTGGATTCTCAAACCAGAAAACTTTTGATAACCTGCAGGAACAGGCTAATGCAATGCCTGCTAAGTCTTATGTGCATTGGGATTAGATATCTGGAGGAGTGGAGGGTGTTGTTTGTTTCTATTTTGAACCTCAATTTTGGGTTATAGATATCCAAAGTTCACACAATTTTTTCTTCTTTGTGTCTGTCTCTTATCTGATTTCCTGCATAACAGTGAAAAGGGCTTCCATTCATGTTTTACAGCTTGTAAACATTAATGCTCCTTGCTTCAATTCTAATAGCTGTTGGAATCACAGTACAGTTTCAAAAAGCATCTTGATTTGAAAATTTTCAGTGGTCAAGAACCTATCACAAACTTTTAGAAATAATTAATTTACCTTTGGGGATTTTTTTTTTTACCTTATACTCTGAAATTGTCCAGCTCCTTTTTTCTTTTCTTAAAGACAAATGGATGAAATTCCCAGAAATTGGTGTAAAATAAGCTTTAATACTTTCAAGATTCTTTGGGCCCCTTACAATATTCTACACCCTTTCTCAAATGTTGACCTTTACAGTTAAGAGTCAACTTCCAGAAGTTTTATTCCAAGTAAAGCAGATCTTCTTCTGCAATAATATTATTTTAACAAAAAAGGCATACTTTTATCGTGATTCCAGTTTCCATTTAGAAAAAGTGTTATCAGCTTCACATCTAGTCATATGATGCCATATGCTTGTTCCAATATTTAAGTGCAAGTGAAAAGTGTCTTGATCCCTGCATCCTGTCCTTGTCGTTGCAAAAAGTAAGACTGAATGAATTGCTAACCTGTTTCTGGATCCACTGAGAAATATGGCTGTCCCTGGAGGATGCTGTAGACCACTTTGGCACTGTTTCCATAGTTAGCATCATCAGCATCTGTGGCTGTCACTTGAATAACAGATGTACCTAAATGGGTACCAAACAAGGAATCAGCAGATTTTAAGGCGGCACCTACTTCTTGTAAACAACATACAGTGGTTTCAGTATTGAATTCAGTAAAAAAATAGAACAGCATCCAGTGGACAAATCCAGTGTTATTCTACCCAAGCAAACAGTAACATAAAGTCTCATCTTCCTTGTGACTAAAACTAAAGTCATCATAATCACTTAAGTTTCATGCTTCAGTTAAACATGAGTAAATGCATAGGGATTGACACATGTCTTTGAAACCCAGCACAACATTAGTTTTTTTCTGGTGATCAAACAGGTTTGAAGATTGTTCTCTGGCAATAACATGACCTCAGTTGAAACTGTTCACTTAAAAGGTAGGTAGCTGCTGTGTGAAAATTACCATTATGAGTTTTAAGTTTGGCTTAGTAAATTAACCCAAAGCAAATTTCCCCATACTCATTTTCTGCTTAGATTACAACCTCCAAATATCTGAAGTCAAACTGAATAAGAAATTTTGTCTCATCCTTACTAATTTTTAAGATGCGTTTAAAAAATTAGCTTGGTTTTGCAATAAGAACTTCTGGGGGGTTTTGTTTGTTTGTTTGTTTGTTTTTATGTCTTGATCAAAATTATCCACCTATTTGGCAAATAATTGCCATTAAACAATAACTACATTTTTTCAGCATTCACTTATTTTGCATGAAAATGGCTTACCCATGTTCTGTGATCACAGTGAGGAGAATATAGGCTATATGGAATTAAGAGCACTGTGAGCCAATACGTTTGGTGTAGTTTATGGATTAGAAGCAAATAAAAGCTTCTGTAAAGACTTTCTTATAAGAGGTATAAAAAGACAAAACTGTTCTTCACAAGCTTTTATTTTTAAGCAATTTTCAAGACATCAGGATACATTTTGCTAACACAATCTAGAGCTGACAAATGTCTGGATAAATGCAGGCAGTCCAATAGCTAGAAGTGTAAAGGTCCTTAACTCCTTGCCAAGGGCAGAAGGCTGACTGAGAAGCAGCTCTTTATTTTTGGCCGGGTATTTTTTATGTATCTCACTTTCCTTATAAGAAAAAGGGCTAGTGAGCACTGTCCACTTAAGTGATAGCATTTCCTGTTCCTTTTTTTCTTCACCCTCAGCCTCTCTAGATTGAACTTCACCCAGAAAACCTGCAGTCAAGTATCTGTCTTGACTATAAATTTAGAAGATGCTCATTTACCTGTGACTAATGGAATTGAAGTGAATCATCTCTACTGTCGCTCTTCAGTGTGTACAAGGGATTGGGGAAAGTAGAAATTCAGAGTAATCAAAACAGATTTATGAGAGCACATGTTATTATTAGGTCCTGTTAGATGCATCTGTTTTCTTATAAGATGTAATACAGCTTTACACATAATAGTTTTACCTACATAATAGTAACAATTCCCACTATTTCAGGTTATTTAAACAGCACGACAGGAGGGGAGGAATACCTCTTTCTCTGCAACAAACCAGCAGAACAAAGTTGTAAAAATGCTTTGTCACAATTCATCAAACTCTGAAGAGGATTTTTGCCATCAGCAATCTAGATTACTTTTTGCCTGGTTAAACAGTTAGAGGTCATCTGTGTGCCAAGCTGAGCTGTAAAGATAATCCTGAAGAGGTGAATATTTAAGGACAAGTTTATCAGTAACAGTGTTCAGCAGAACTGCTCATCTGGACAAAAATTGAAGACAGTTTTTGGAGAAATGTGAAGTTCCATGAGTCCTATCTGCTTTCAAAAAACCAAATAAGTTAAATCCCATGCCTCCTCAAAACTAACAGGGAAAGGAGTCAATATTACTTGCTATGCTATAAAAAAAGTAAAAGTCCTCAGCAGAATCATATGCTTATACTGTGAGCCACTATAGCATCTAGAAGTTAAGAATCAGGGGAAATGTATATGTCCATCCCACCCTCCCCCCCAAAAAACCCCAAATATCTTCATCGGGAAAACTTATTGCTGTGGCCTCCTGATCTAGACACTGTCTTGCACGGACACAGAAGTTTGAATATGGTCATAACAACTGAATGCACATTAACTTTTTTTTCCTAGTGTACTGTTTTGATGAAAAAAAGAATGCTGAAGCTTGTTTTGAGAAGGATTTTTTTTTTTTTTTTTAAGAAAGGCATTTCAGAGCTCAGGGAAGTCTTTGACAAATGTCTGCCTTTGTCTCACTGGAATGTATATCTTTGTTTCCTGAGGCTCAAGTGCCATATAATCATGATTGCTGAGGAGAGTACAGAAGCTGTAACCCTGCAGAAACTTCGGAGGTCACTACCAGGTAATTTAAGTGGATCTTATATAGAACGAGATCTCATCATGCTTTGCAAAATATTGATGTTTTCTTTTATTTGTTGAATTCTATAGGGTGGTGAAAAGATAGTGTTATAACAGCTGCTGCTTCCTAGTAAACTAATAGTACAATTGTGAAAAATTATTAACAAAAGTATATACTCAGAAAATTTGTCAGCAGGCAGTTCACTCTCTTCTATGCCAACAGTCTGCTGTGTCATAAAGGAGGATCCTCACAGACAATAGGCAAAGCCTGTGCAGCTTTTTTTTATGAGGAAAGAAACTTCTCTTAGCCTTTGGGGTCTGAAATTAAACAAGAAAGGCAGTGAAATAAAGGAACCCAGCACTAATTACGAAGTGATTGGTAATGAGGCAAAACCAGTTTCGATCTTTTTAATTAAAGACAAATATGCCCTATCTTCACCCCCACCTGAATGGTACCAGCAGAATGTGGATGTATTTATTCATTTGTTTATTTATAGTCTAGATTACCTCACAAGCAGCCTTTTGCCCACATTCGTCAGCAGAAGTCAGCATGATTTAAAATACGAATCAGGCTGCTAGGTTAGAAATTAGAAGCTTTCTGAGATACTTCTACAGCTGCCAACATGAGCAGAAATGAAGGAGTGAAGTGGAGCCTGGGAAGAACTGGGGGTGGGGGGATGGTGTTTTAGTTTCTGTCATTATTTCTTACCATCCAACTTTTTTTTAATGGGCAATGAATTAAATTAGTTTTCCCAAGTTGAGTCTGTTTTGCCCCTAATGGTAATTGGTAAGTGATCTCCCTGTCTTTATTTCAACCCATGAGCTTTTCCATCTTATTTTCTCCCCCTGTACTGCTGAGGGGGAGGAGTGAGAGGGCAGCTCGGTGGGCCTTTGTCAGCCAGCCAAGATCAAACAAAACACACAAGCAAACTGGTGTGAAAGATGACAGAGAAAATGTGAGAATGACTACAATAGCAGTCTAAGAAGTAATAACATCACTTTTCTGCAAAACAAAGTGAACTTCAACCCAATCCTATCCAGCAAGCCTATCCCATCTCAGGATGGGAACTAAATCTCAGAGTTCTCAAGAGGTATGTCTTATTTTATTTTCCTTTCTTTTTTCTTTTTCTCTTCTTCCCTTCTTTTTTCTTTCTTTTTTCTTATTTGTTTTGTTTTGATGAATTCTTAATACTTCTTTCACACAGCTTGCAGTTTGTTCTGTTGGCTTTGTCTTTCAATGATTCTCTCTATGTCTGCATACAGTGAGCAAGGAATAGCAGTTTGCTGAATGTGTTGAATTTGCCAGGCTTTATGAGTGCTATAGCATCAGCATTGATCTTTTTTTCCTTTTCTTCTTTGCTTAGATGTACATTTGAGACTGGAAGCTTAAGCACTTTGACAACACATCTGTGATGGATGGGGTCCTAATGTAGGGGTGGAAAAATGCAGAAGGATAATTGCGAAGATAACCTGAGAGAAGACAAATCTAGACTAAATCTGTATAAGTAGTGTATTTGTGTGCCTGTGTTTGAGTGTGCGTTTGTATGCACGTACGTGCATGCAAGAATGTAGAGTCCAAAAAGGAAAACTGATTTAGAGAGGACATCACTCCATATCTAGGATAGTATAACTCATTGTCAGAACTGAGTCCCACTGACACAGATTTCCAGAACTCATGAAGAGTGAGACATAAATTTGAAAAAGCATTTGAAATGAAAATGCTTTTCTGAATTATGTTTAAAATGCTTTCTATTTTTTTGTGCTATTCAGTCTTTGAAAGAGTCCCTCTGGTATAATTAGGTCTCCTAGCATGATACCAGAGTGCATTGCAAAGCTGAAGTAAATAACCTGCAGAAAGTTGTTGTAGTGCAAAAGAGGTCTTCCACTAGATGAGGTAGGTGCGCATTTTGCTACCTTTTCATGTAAAGTCATAGTCTTCAGCATGCAATTCTTGTTACTAGTTGGCTGCTTTGGTTGATGTGAAGAAGAATATATCTGTGTCTATTTGAAAATGATATTTTTACTAATAACTTTTTCTGTAACCTTAATTTTGAACAGTAATCTCCAGGTTGGGTGAAGCAAATGACCAGATTATATTGTTAGCATAGTATGTTTCAAGATTCCACTATGAATGCTGGATCAAAAAATTACAGGGAATGATTTAAATATCATTCAGAACCATGATATTTCTTTTCTGAAGGGAATTCTGTAACTTCAAAATGCATTTTGAGTTTGATTCTGGTATTTTTATAAAAGTAGGATTTCAGATCAAGTCAAACTTCTGATTTTAAGAAAAAATGTTAGGTTTAGACTTTGGCCTTCTAAGTTTTCAAAAAGTAATTTGGAAATTAAAAAATCTGAAATGCTGAAACAGGATGTTTTTTACATTACCAGACAGCTTCCTTTCTATTTTTTCTCAAGTTAACTTCTGTCAAAATTAGAAATTATTGAAAAGTTCTGATTTTTACGGAGAACTTCTGTGTGTTTGTGTGTGTATCTAGCTCTGTTTAAGAGAGAGCTCCACTCAAAGCAGAAAGGCTGTTTCATTTTCAGAAATAGAAGACCAGCTGGGTAAGTGGAGAGGCAAGAAGGACTTTGTCTCCCTAAAGGAGAAGCTCTTGTGCTTGCTTCCTGTTTTTAAGCACAATGACAATCTGCTGTTCATCAAGTTTATTCATGGAGGGAAGATTTTAGAAGTAGATTACTTTT